AAAAAAAAAAAAAAAAAAGAAAACAAATATATTTTTCAAAAAAAGGAAAGAATGCCCAATCTCAAAGTATACTATGGAGCAACACTGAGAAAGAGAAGCTGGTGCTGGCATACACGTAACAGGTTGAGTTCGAGGCCAGCCTGATCTACAAAGCGAGTTCCAGGACTGGCTCCAAAGTTATAGAGAAACCCTATCGTGGGAGGAAAAAGAAAAAGAAAAGAGGAAACAACAGAGAAGGGGGTGTGACACCAAGATTCAATATGATTTACAGAGGTCAGGGCCAAATGGCTAGTTCACAGCAGCACCTGAAGAGGAGTATATATAATATACATATGCAGGGAAAGCGAAGGGAAGCTCCTAAAATGGTGGCTTCTTGTTTCTGGAAGGCATTTCAAGGGGAAACAGTTGTAAAGCATGGAAGCAGATATCTAAGGAGGACCAAGAGGAGAAAGAAGAGGATCCAGGGGCCCTACAAAATACCCAAGCCAGCATCAACAGAGCAGACTTCCAGTCTTCAGGCCTCTCCCATCCCAAAAGAATAAAGTGGCTACTTTTCCTTTGACATCAGCTGTCACCCTGGTTACACACTCAGGAGGCGGAAACAGACATATCTCTGTAAGTATAAAGATAGCCTGATCTACATGGTGAGTTCCAGGCCAGCGAGATGCATAGTAAGACCCTATCTCAAAAACATTTTTTTACCATTTTCTTTTTTTAATTTTTTATTAATTTTACATACCAACCACAGTTCCCCCTCCCTCTCCTCATCCCACTTCCCCCCACCTCCCCCTCACCCCATCCTCCATTCACTCTTCAGAAAGGGTAAGGCCTCTCATGGGGAGTAACAATGTCTGGTATATCACATTGAGGCAGGTCCAAGCCTCCATTCCTGCATCAAGGCTGAGCAGGGCATCCCACCACAGGGAATGGGCTCCAAAAAGGCAGTTCATGCACCAGGGATAGATCCTGGTCCCACTGCCAGGGGCCCCACAAGCAGAACAAACCACACAATTGTCATCCGCATGCAGAGGGCCTAGGTCCGTCCCTTGCAGGCTCCCTAGCTCTCACAGTCCAGAGTCCATGAGCTCCCACAGGTCAGCAGTCTCTGTGGGTTTCCCCCAGCATGATCTTGACCCATCCTTGCTTATGTAATCCCTCTTCCTTCTCTTCAACTGGAGTCCCAGAGCTCTGTCCAGGGCTTGCCTAAGGATCTCTGCATCTGCTTCCCTCAGTTACTGGATGTAGGTTTTATGATGACAATTAAGCTAGTCACCAATCTGATTACAAGAGAAGACCAGTTCAGGCACCCTCTCCACTATTGCTAGGAGTCTTTGCTGGGGCCATCCTTGTGGGTTCCTGGGAATTTCCCTAGCACCAGGTTTCTCCCTAATGATGGCTCCCTCAATCAAAGTATCTCTTTCATTGCTCCTCCTCTCCGTCCCTCCCCCAACTCAATCATCCCCATTCCCTCCCTTCTACCCCTTCCCTGCCCCCAGTTACCCAGGAGATCCTATCTATTTCCCCTTCCTAGGGTGATCCAAGCGTCCCTCTTAGGATCCTCCTTAAAAACATTTTTTTTTAAAGTAATTAAAGTCAGGTGATGCTGGTACACGTTTTTAATCCCAGTACTCAGAAGCAGAGGCAGGAGGATCTCTGAGTTCAAGGCCACGCGGGTCAACAGAATGACTTTCAGGACAGCCAGGGTTACGTAGTGAAACCCTGTTTCGAAAAACACACAAACAAGATAATTCAATAAAGTAGAGCGCAACTAAGGAAGATTCTTTTATATATCTGTTCATTTTTATTTCCAAGAATATTTTTTTAAAGATTTAATTCTTTATGTGTATTGGTACTTTGCCTGACTGCCTGCCTGCCTGCCTGTATGTTTACCATTTGTGCCTGGTGCCTGAGGAGGCCAAAAGAGGGTATCAGAGTCCCCAGAACTGAAGTTATAGATGACTGTGAGCCACCATGTGGGTGCTGGAAATCAGAGACGGTCTCCTGAAAGAGCAGTCAGTGTTCTTAACCATCGAGCCATCTCTCCTGTCCCCTGAGGAAGAATCTCAAAAGTGACCTCAGGGCTCCACAGCCTGGTGAATGCACCTCCCAAGCAAACAAGAAAAGCAAAATGGGTGTCCTTTTTTTTAATATTTATTGTGTATACAATATTCTGTCTGTGTGTATGTCTGCAGGCCAGAAGAGGGCACCAGACCTCTTTACAGATGGTTGTGAGCCACCATGTGGTTGCTGGGAATTGAACTCAGGACCTTTGGAAGAGCAGGCAATGCTCTTAACCACTGAGCCATCGCTCCAGCCCCCAAGAAAAGCAAAATGGGAAACTGACAAGATTGTAAGGAGGATAAGAGGAGGGAAGCTGGAGGGAATGGGAAGAGGGGAGGGAGTGGGAACTGGGATTGGTATGTAAAATGAAAAAAGATAGCTTTCTATGTTTAAAAAAATAAAATAAAGGATAAAAGTGAGAGGCTACATACACAAAGGTACTCTTGCACTATTTTTAATATTTTAAAGATGTATTTCTTATTTTTACTTACACGTATATATGTGAGACTGAGCTCATTTATATACACCATGTGTGCACAGGTGCCCAAGTACCAGAGAGCATCGGATCTCCCACAACTACATTACAGGGGGTTGTAAGCTGTCTGTTGTGGGTGCAGGGGGCAGAACTCAGGTCCCCTGCCAGAACAGTAAATGATCTTAATTGCTGCCATCACCGCTCCTGCCCTCCCTTCTTTTACACAGAAATGATACATCCTTATGAAGTATGGCACCACTGTTTATAACAAGATGGAAGTTATACATTAAAGAGTAGCTTTGCCAACCTGACCCCACACTTGACCTCACAAGTGATACCAGAGGGGAGGTGTGTCTGGAGAAACAAACAGGTAAGAATGTCACTGAAGTACTCATTTGTTTGAAGGTACTTTCATTTTATAAGCTCCACTAGCATTCTGACCCTAATGGTCCTTCTATGTTGCTTACAATAATGAGTATTCCGAAGACGGCAACAGCAGGAGCAATGCAGGTAGCATGAGGGACAAACAGCCAACAGTCTAACAAGTTATAGGCCCTAGTCTACTATCAACCATCTGGGAGCTCTCGGAGCATTTAAACCAACGTTTGCTTGATGATCCACAGTACAATATAAAAACTATATAACAGGTGTACAGAGCAGGATGGGCGATTCATTCTTAAGATGTTACCAAATTCCTTCTTTCTCTTTCAAGACAGAACTTGCTACGTGGCTGGGGATGACCTTGAATTCCAAATCCTACTGCCTCCCTCAAGTGCTGGGATTACGGGAAAGCACCACCACAGGCCTAGCTACTTGCTTCAGCATTTTTAAACTGAAGAAGAGTTAGCAAACTCTTTAAAAAAAAAAAGGCAAAAAAAAATCTGCAAGTCTACCAACTGAATTTCAACATGTTCAATAGCAGCAAAGAAAAATAAGGAAGCATCCAATCCAACTGCAAAGAAATTAACTTGACAAATTTCCACCTAATAACCATCCACTGTGGCTCGCATAAACTTGGTTTCAGCTCCAAACAGTTACTATTCATCTGAATGAGAATGAGGAGATACCTGCAAAGATGCTCTAACTGAAAAATCTCCACAGCTCCACTCAGTCCCACCTAGTTAAAGGTGCACTAAGACTCCTGCTACTATACAGAGTGCTGTTTACTTCCTTTAATAAAGTTTTAGGCCAGGGAGATGGCTCAATGGGTAAAGGCACTTGCTACACAAGCCTGATGACCTGAGTTCAATCCCCAGACTCAGTGTGTCCACATGCTCACCATGACGAACTCTCTTACTCTGTCTCTCTCTCTCTAAAAGGAAGTTCTACCAAGATGGCTCAGTGGGTAAAGGCTCTTGTCATGCCAGCCTGGTGACCTGAGTTTGATCCCTGCAACCCACAACAGAGGTGGGTGGTGAGAACAAACTCCACAAAGTTGTCCTGCACACACAGGGACAAAAACTACATAAATAAAATAAAATTTTTAATTTAAAAAAGAAAAGTTTCAGCTAAGTTTACCAAAAGCGAAGCAAGCCACGTGAAAAGGCTCCAATCTGCTCCAATCTGGTACAGTAGTTTTCACTAGCTCTTTAAAATGTCTTCAAGCAAGCCCGGTGATGGCCGCCTAGCCTCAAGTCCCAAAGCTACTCTGGGTTACCTGAGATTCTATCTCCAAAGGGGGAGAGGGGAGCAACAAATAAAAATATGTCTTCATGCGTTTGCCTGTGTACAAGATATTTCTAGGAAAGAAAGCACTTTATACTAAAATAGGCTTGCACATGCACAGATGTTTCCAAGGCACGGTTAAGGGTCAGATCCCAGGTCTCAGAACAAGCAAAACATTCTCCTTCTCGAACCTGGCAACAAATGCAGAACGAGAGAGTTCCGACAAGCAATGAGAAGAGCTTACGTCCTTAACGTGTTGGAGATGCAAGCGTATCTTCTGCAGGTCACAGGTTTATTAGTGAAGCGGATCGTCCAATTTTATTCCAAGAGATCTTATCACTTACAGAAAACGATAACCAAGAGGTTAACCCGTTTTCATTTAGGGAAAACAGAAACCTATAAAAACACCAACTCGTTCTCCAGAGACATGCCAAAGTGCTGGTTCTCAACCTACTTAGGGTCAGGATTGGTCTAAATTCCTGGGGGCACTTCCTCCTCCTAACACCTCAAACCGAGTTAGTACGGCTGGAGAAAGCCCGCCGACTCACGCATTGAACCTAAGACCGCTGGGGACAACTTGAGGCGCTCGCAGAGAGAACACTGGAGGAGAAACCGATTCGGGGTAGACCAAGGTGACTCGAACTCACGGTCGCCTCCCGCTCTGGCCCCTCTCCTGTTTCCGAGGCCTCCCCACGCCACCCGAGGTACCTGTCACCCGCCGAGCAGCCGAGGCAGCCGAGGCGTTCGCATCCCCCCCGCTGCCCATGCCCGGACCGCACTTCGTCCACTCCGGTGTCAGCAACGACGCCCGGGTAGGGCGGGACAGCGGCGACCTCGGTGGAGGCTGCGCCAGTGAGAAGCCGACACGCGCCTTTCCCGCCGCTGCTCACAAGCCGGTTTCTCAAAGCAGCAACCCAGTTGCCAGCCACCCCTGCACTTCCGCTTCCTTGAGGCGAAAGCAGGACAACTTCCGCTATAGAGTGCGGGCTGGAGTTTGCCAGAGCGTCCCAAGGCTGCCATATTGCCAGCCGAAACCTCGCCCCTCTATCCGGCCCCGCCCCTCTGGGGGTCGATCATGCAAGCTGTCCGGACAGCCTCTACTTTCTAAAGTCTCGGGAAAAGGCTAGTCTACGTGGCTGATCTCCAAGGTTTCGCCCAAAGGTGCTGGCAGATAGATATTTCAATCTTTGTTTTTCAGATTTTTATCATTTATTACCCTCAAGTTAAATCAATGTGCAGTTAAACTCAGGCCGCAAAGGCAAGTGCATCTTTGTGAGTTCAAGGCCAGCCAGGACTACGTAGAGAGACCCTGTCTCACAGGAAAAAACAAAGTTATAAATTTGTTTCGTAGCGGACTGGAGAGATGGCTCGGTGGTTAAAAGCATTGCCTGCTCTTCCAAAGGTCCTGAGTTCAATTCCCAGCAACCACATGGTGGCTCACAACCATCTGTAATGAGGTCTGGTGCCCTCTTCTGGCCTGGAGACATACAGACAGAATATTGTATATATAACAAGTAAATATTTTAAAAAAAAACTTTGTTTCGTAGCGTGTGATATTAGTTAATGCAAAGACCCATAATTGGTCAGAGTGCTGAGAATAAGTGATTCTCAGCCCTGAATAAAGAATCTATATCACCACCTCCCAAGACCCAAAGACCACCCGGGGAAGAGAGCAGAAAAAACAAGTCCGTGCTCTTGCTGCCAAGCTGGAAGACCCGAGCTCAGTGCCCAGGATGCACAAAAAACCCGGGCATGGGCTCGGGAGATGGCTCAGTGGATAAAGTGCCCAAGTCTGAAGACGGAGTTCAGGGAAGGTGGGGGGAGCAGGAGGATGGAGGGGGAGAGAAAAGAAAAGAAAAAAAAAAAGACTGGAGTCCCAATTGCCCTGGCAAGGTGGCTATCTAAACTAGCCAGAATTATTTAGCTCCAAATTCTCAAGAATTCTGCCTCAATAAATAGGGAGTGGCTGGGGAGAATAATCAGTTACTAAGTGCCTATTGAGCATGCACATGAATGTGTGCGTGTGCACGCACACACTCACACTCAAATACACACACTCACAAAATAAGCCAGATATGCTATGGAGTTAGAGACAAGCAGATCCCTGGGGCTTGCTGGCCAGCCAGGCTGGCTGCTGAACGGGTCAGTTCCAGACTGTGAGACACACTCAGTAAACTAAAATGGATAGTGTCCTGAGAACTGATACCTGAGGTTGACCTCTGGCTTCCACACCCAGGTGCACACAAGTGCACACCAACACAGAGAGAGGGAGAGAGCGAGAGAGAGCATGCGCACAGCACTGAGCTTTCCACTCTGGTTTTGGGAGCAGTGCTCTGTCCTGAAATCAGTTCTCATAGGTTTTTATTTTCAATTGTCTGTTTCTTGCTGTGAGGACAGGAGAGACATCTGAGCCTCTTGTAGGTAGAACAAAAACTGGAAGTCTAAGACTCACCACACTTAAGGTGAGTTGTGACAGAACTCGGGGCTCCAGATGACCAGTGCTGTTCAATAGAAGTTAAGTGTCAGCCAGGGCAGTGAGACAGCTCAGCAGGCAGAGGCACCAACAACTCTACGCACTGGAGTTGGGATACCCATGGTAGAAAAAAAAAAACCAACTCCCGGAAGTTGTCCTGTCTTCTGAACTCCACATGTTGTACACCGAGGCACACATACACACATGCACAAACAAGTGTAAAGTGTGGGCTACATTTGCAGTTTCATTTTTCCTTGTTAGTAATAGCAGTTTCTGATGAGGATTGAAACCGTGGCTTCATGCATGCAATGCATGTGCTTTACCACTGATTATACCCTCACCCCTTTGTCCTTTACGACACTCTAGGGGCTGACAGAGGTGGTTGAGCAGCAGTTGCTCTTGCAAAGGACCCAGATTCAGTTCCCAGCACTCACATGGTGGTTTATAACCACCTTAATTCCAGTTCCAGGAGATCTGGCCGCCTCTTCTGATCTCTGCAGGCACCAGGCATGTACATGGTCCACATACATGCATACAGGCAAAACACACACACATAAAAGAAATAAATCTTTCAAGTTAACGTATGCTAGTAGCCACTTCATTTCCTGAGACAGGATCTCACTATGTAGCCCTGGCTGGCCTGGAACTCACAGAGAAGCCTCTGTGCTAGGATTAAAAGTGGGAGCCACCGGGCACAACCACATAGCCACATTTTTTTTTTAATACAAGGAGGTTCTGGGGCAATAACCCAGTCTTTAAAATGTTTGTCAAACAACTATTAGGACTGGAGTTCAATCCTAAGCACCCATTAAAAACTTCTTATAGAATGCCTCAGAAACCCCCTCAAACAAAGCAGGTACAGGTTTCACACCAGGACTTGATGCTAAGTACTTGATGCGGCTAGAGAGATGGCTCAGCAGTTAGGAGCACTGACAGTTCTTCCAGAGGTCCTGAGTTCAATTCCCAGCAACCGCATGGTGGCTCACAACCATCTGTAATAAGATCTGGTGCCCTCTTCTGGCCTGTATATGTAATAAATTGTCAATTGCGTTGGGTGGGTTACTCAGTCTAGGGGTTTGTAACCCACCCTGCAATCAGTTATTCCAGGGTCTCGAAGGGGGGCTACCTGGAAGGGAATGAGCTAGGACAGAAGAATGAGGCCAAGCAGATTTGTCAACGCCCCCTTTATTAGGATCATGGTTTCTGTTTATATAGCCCCTGTGTTCAGGTTCATCACGTAGACCAGGACGTTCAGACAGGTAGGCCAAGAAGTCACGAGTTGCCACACCTGGTTCCCTGGATAGCTGGAATGTGAGGCGTGTTCCGCTAACAGATAACAGTTAATTGGGTGTGCGGCAAGTTCTGTCAATAGAACATAATTATGGGTGTGGGGTTCCCTGCAGACTCCCCAGGGTGATGGTTCCTGTAATGATTTTTAGGGGGGAAATGGCTCGTGACAATAAATAAATAAATCTTAAAAAAAGAAAGAAAAGCTGTTGCTAAAAACACCATACACTTTAGCCACAGGACATGAGAAACCAAATTGGTGCTGACCAAGAAGATTCTCCCTGGTGACTCGCTTTCATAGTACCAGATGGTATGTAGGCTGCTGGGAGGAAAAAGCCATCAACGCCTTATCCAGCTGTGAAGACTGAGCTCCAGTAATGACCAGAATGACAAGCTATGCTGCAGATGCGATAGTGGCGTGAGTTATAGGGATAGCCAAGTGCTTTCTGATTGGACGGAAGGCTCACTCCACAGTAGAAAATAGAATGTTGATATTGTGAATCTGACTGAGACCCATGACTGGGGAGCTGTGGGCCCTAGAGGTTAACTTACTACTATTAATTTTGATAAACAAACATAGTATCCAACTGCCCTCTACATTCATATCTCTCTATCCTCAGATTGGTATAGCTGTCAGACCTCGTCTGAGAAGTTTCCTTTTACAGCGGACGGTGGCTAATGCTGAAACTCACAACTGGTCAGAGTACAGGGAATAAGTCCTGTGATGCTCAGTCATGAGTGAGACATATACATCACACCCTGATCCCTACAGACTGAAGGACCGTTGAGGAAGAGCTCAGTTAAGAGTGTGACGTATAGACGGTGGGTCTGGGAGGAGCAGGAATAAATACCAGAAGACACTGTGTGTGTATTTGAAATTCTCAAAGAATTAATAAGTGTTACATATGTATATTAAAGTCTGGTGTAGAGGGCAGACACAGGAGGATCCCTGGAATTCACAGACCAGTCAGTCTAGCCTAACTGGTGAGCCTCAGGTCTCAACGAGGGATCCTGTCTCAAAAACTAAGATGGGTAGATCCTAAGGGACGATGAAGTTTGACCTCTAGTCTCTACATGTATACACACACATGCATATGTTCCTGCACAGTCATGAACAAACACACAAAGCAAAAGGAAAAAGATAGAATTCACTTTGACATTTTATTTCACCAGGTATACTTAAAAAGTTACCGGTTAAATGTATTTATGAGGGGGCTGGAGAAATGGCTTTGCGGGCGAGAGCATTTGCCGTTCTTGCAGAGGACCTGGCAGGTTATAACCATCCATTACTCCAGTTCCAGGGAATTTGATGCTCTCTCCTGGCTTCTGTGGGCTCCTGGACACACACATATGCTATGCATAAATTCATGTAAGCACATACGCATAAAATATCAGAAAAGGGCTGGGCGGTAGTGGTGCATGCCTTTAATCCCAGCACTCAGGAGGCAGAGGCAGGTGGATCTCTGTGAGTTCGAGGCCAGCCTGGTTTACAAAGCGAGTGCCAGGACAGGTTCCAAAGCTACAGAGAAACCCTGTTTCAAAAAAACAAATATATATATATATATTCATATATATATGAAAAATAGATACAATTTTAAATGTAATTATAAAATGTTACCGTGACTTTTTTTTTTTTTTTTTTTTTTTTTTTTTTTTGCTTTTTCAAGACAGGGTTTCTCTGTGGCTTTGGAGCCTATCCTGGAACTAGCTCTTGTAGACCAGGCTGCTCTCGAACTCACAGAGATCTGCCTGCCTCTGCCTCCCAATTGCTGGGATTAAAGGCGTGCGCCACCACCGCCGGGAGGCATTTTATTTTTCAAATCTTGTGTGTACCCAATTAGCTGGCTATGAGTTTCTAGGGAGTCTCCTGTCACCACCACCCATCTCTCCTTAGGAGCGCTGGGACTAAAGATGTGCACTACTGTGTCCCTCAGTAGTCAGACTCTGTGCTAACTGCTGCCTTGCTGTTGTTTATTGTCCTCAGTAACACCAATAATAAACAGAGCTCTCTGTGCCCCTGATTCCTTAAGCACTCAGGGCCACAGCCACTCCCTCTGTTTATCCCCCACCTTTGTTAACATTGTCTCTTCAAAGGGCATTTCCTGACCACAGCATTCAGAGTCCAGCCCCCCAGCCATTCCCTCTCTCCTGCATCTGCTTGATTCCTCCCCACCCCGTATATTCACAGAGAATCTCCACCGCTCATTAGACTCCAGCTTCAGGACAGTGCTCAGCAAGCATCCACTGCACAGCTCGCAACAACTCCCTGCTCTGACTGCGAGGACACACTCTGCTGTGGCTACTCTCCTCTAGTTAGCCTGCAGACATAGGCTATACCTTGATTTTTTTGTTTCTTTGTTTTCTTGAGACAGGGTTTCCCAGTAGCTATGGAGCCAGTCCTGGAACTCGCTCTGTAGACCAGGTTGGCCTCAAACTCACAGAGATCCACCTGCCTCTGTCTCCCGAGTGCTGGGATTAAAGGTGTGCACCACCACTGCCCGGCTAGGATACACCTTGATAATGTCTCTTGGGCTGCTGGGGAAAAGAACATCGAATCCCAGACCCAGAAAACCTCTTGCTTTTCATGCAGAAAGCTAAGACTTCAGCTGACTGTGTGTGCCTTTTCTCCTAAGATTGAGTTTAAGAGTTGTCAGATTCAGGACTGGAGATGTTGATCAGTTGGTGGGAGGCTTGCCTAGCACACAGAAAGTCATGTGTTTGATACCCAGTGCCACAAAACTGTGGTGGCACATACCTATAATCCTAGTATATGGGAGGTAGGACCTGGAGGATCAGAAGTGCATGATTATCTTCAGTCGTATAATGAGTTGGAGGCCATCCTAAGCCAATAGTAGAGAAATGGGGAGGAGGTACATTCAGGTAGATCTTAAGACCAGAAACTTGGTTCATAAATGTTTTCATTCGGGGCAATGGTAGAACACACCTTTAATTCCAGAACTTGGGAGGAAGAGGCAAGTAGATCTCAGTGAGTTCGAGACCAACCTGGTCTATAGAGTGGGGTATGGCGGGGGTTGGAGAAATGGCTCAGAGGTTAAGAACAGAGTTCAATTCCCAACAACGACAGAGTGGCTTACAACCATCTAGAAAGAGATATGGTGCCCTCTTCTGGCCTGCAAGCATACATGTAGACAGAACACAATATACATAATAAACAAATCTTTTAAAAATGTTTTCATTCATTCATTCATTGAGAAAGGCTCTCATTACATAGCCATGACTGGCCTAGAACTCACTATGTAAACCTGACTGGTTTCAAATTTATAGAGATCTGCTGCTTCTGCCTCCTGAGTGCATGACTGTTAATACCATGACTGTTGAGGTTATTTAGTTAGTTAGTCAGTTAGTTACTATTCTTTGACAATTTCATTTATGTATATCCATTGTTTCACCCTGTTTCCCTCCCTCATTCCCTTCCCACTACCAGGCGCCCCTCCTGTTTTCCTGTCTTGCCTTTGTTCTGTGGTTTTGTGACCACTCAGTTTAATCAGGGTAGCTCGCGTACGCATAGGGCAGCGGTGGTTATTTCCTGGAGCATGAGCAACTTAGCGATGGCGATACCATTGAAGAGCATTAGCCGCCATCTACCAGCTCCTCAGAGACGGTGAGGCTATCGGCCACCTAGAGCTGTCCAGGAGACAGCGTTTCATGGGACTCCTCCCACTCCTGAGCTCCTTAATTCTTTTTAGCCCGTCTTCTGCAACATTCTCGAAGCCATGGAGGATGTTACACAGATGATCCCCTCAGGGAAGAGTGTCCAACAGTCACTTCTTTTCAGTACTTCACACGTCATGTTTCTAAGATTGGAGGTAGGGTATCAGACCTGCAGAACAAGTGCTGTGATTTGAACAGGGTTTCAGTGATTTTCCAGAAATTTCGTGACTTCAATCTGTGGTCCTCCCATGGTGATTTTTTTTTTTCAGATTTTACTTTATTTACATGCATGCATGCTTGTCTGAGTGTACAGAGATCTGATCTGATGGCTTCTTCTAGCCTTTGCGGGCATCAGACATACACATGGTTCACATACATATATGCAGCCAAAGCACTCATACACATAAAATAAAAATAAATCTTAAAAAAATGAAAAGAATGAAAAGGTCAGTACTAATCATTGCCCTATAGATATCTTACGTTTCTTTTTCAGACTCAAAATCCTTCTGCTTCAATCCCTCGAGTGCTGTGATTAAAGGAACGCGCAACCTTGCCTGGCTCAGACACTGGGTTCAGATGTGAGACTGTGCTTTCCCCTGCATTCTCCACGTGGGGTTGATGGAAATGATTCTATGCTGTGCTCCCTCGTGCATTTTTTGTGACCATGTGGCCAGTCTTGGCTGTGACACAGAGCTAAGATGGGTTTCCTCCCTGGAGGAGGGCAGACGTGCTGAGAAGCAGGCGTAGGTGGCCTCAGCTCTGTGTTTTACATCATGTGAGTGCAGGTCACATTCTAAGGAACAGCACTGGTCAGTGCCTGTGGAATAGGAACACTATCTGGCCTCCTAATTCGAACTTGGGTGAGGCCCTGGTAAATAAACTTTGGAAGAGAAAGCTCCCAAGCTGGACCTTGGACACAGCTGGAAGGGACAGTCTCACACCTGGTGCTTGCGGCTGATCTGCCTGCCAGGAAGCCACCTGGGTAGTTAGCAGAATAACAAAGGGCCCAGGTCCTTTGAGACCCTGAAGTCCTTTACAGCAACTTAGTGATGTTAAAATGCTGTGTGTTTGGACCTCTGGGTATAGCTGAACAGCACTGTGCTTGCTAAGCCTGGGTGAAGCCTTGGGTCCTCTGCACAAGGTAGTGGTAGGGGAGTGTGGTTTCTCTGGAAGAAGGAAGCAGCTGCGGATAGCCGTGAATTTGGTCCTACACAAAATTGTAAACGTACTTAAAACATTATGCAGGGATTTCTTTTGACATTTATTTTGTAGTTCGTTTACTTTGTGTATATTCTTGCCTATGACATTTGCACATGTGTGGAGGTCAGAGGACAACCCGTGGGAGTCAGGTCTCCCCTTCCTAGGTGGTACCCAGAGATCTAACTCAGATCAACAGGTTCGGTGGCAAGTGTCTTCACTCCCAGAGCCAGTACACCAGCCCTTGATGGACTGGTTGGTTGATCGATAGATCAATTGATTGGTTGATTGATTACTAGCTTGATCGATCGATCAAATTGAGACAGGGTCTCACTGTGTAGCCCTGACTGGTCTAAAACTAGTTTAGTAGATCAGGCTGGCCTCAAACTCACAGAAATCTGTGCCTCTGCCTCCCAAATGCTGGGATTAAAGGTGTGCTCCACTAAGCCTGCCCCCAATATTGTTCTGGTTTTAATGGAATGTGCTTTCTTGCATAGTTGTTTTTTTTTTTTTTTTTTAAAAGGCTTCAGTGCTCAGTGCTGTTTTGCTTTACAGGTGCATGTATCTAGGTAAAACAGCTGAGAAAAGGTAACCATCTTGGAGAGATTCCTCTGATATCCCCTGGGGTGGAAATTGTTTATCTAACTAGCAGACAGTTGTAATGGGAAGGTCAGGCATGCTGGCAGGCACAGATCTGACAGAATGTCCCTTTTGAAACATTACTTTGTATAAAAAGATAGATAGAACTCAGTACAACAAATAAAGATGAGCTTCTATAAACTAATTAGATTTTAATGTAACTTTATTTTGAGAGTTCTTATGTATCCCAGGCTAAATTCTAACTTGCCTCCATCCGTCTCCCAGGTGCTGGGATTACAGGCATGGTCTGTTACTTTGGTCTTATCTAAAGGGTGGGGATCAAATGCAGGGCTTTATGCATGCCATGCAAGCATCCTACCAGTGGAGCTGCAGCCCAGATCTTAATGTTATTTTGTAGAAACATCTCCTTCTTCAAGAAACACATACTAAAGCTTTAGGCTCTAAGGTTTAGGGTGAAGCTCCTTCAGCCTGCACTACTTCCCAGGGGGTCCAGAAAAACAAAACAAAACAAAAACCTTAAGAGAATGCCTACACGCATGGGGAGAGCATGGACTCCAAACCGAAGTGTGTACTGCAGATATTGCTCAATTGGCAGCATCCTAGCATGTATGATGTCCTGGTCCTACCCTCAGCACAGCATAGAACAGGCCTGCTGGCACATACCTACAATCCCAGCACTGAAGAGGTGGAAGCAGGACCAGAAGTTCAGAGTCACCCTTGGTTAATTTAGACAGTTCTCTAAGGCCAGACTCTGTCTCAATACAAACTGGAAAAGAAAAGAAAACAGGTATGTAGACCATTATTTTAATTATTGAGTCTGTGGCTAGTGAGATAGCTCAGGTGGTGGAAGTACTTACCTGAGTACCTGAATTCATTCCCAGAAGGCACAGTAGAAGAGAACTGAGTCCTAGAAGTTGTCCTCTGACCTTCATGGGCTCATACACTCACACACATACTCACACACATGCACACACACACAGTAATAATAATAGATAAATACGATTTTAAGAAGCACTGAATCTAACTTTTATTATAACTTTCATTAGTTATATAGTCCTTTCAAGTCTTCTGTAATCTTTAAAATGCTTCAAAGTAAGTTGGAGGGGGAAATGACATAGCAAAGGGCTTCTAACTCTCAGCTTAAAGAAGTCAAACCCAAACCATCAGGATGTTGTCTGTCTAGAGAGAAGCCTGGGGGAGACTAGAGGTTTACCACAGCCCCAGACTGGCTGCTTTCTAGACTCTCTGTTCTGATTCCCCAAATCTGGGGACTCCAGGAAGGGAGTGCTTGGTACTCAGGGTGAGACAAGCTTCAGCAGGCAAAGACATATCTGGCTGTGACCGTCGATTAGATAAATATGGGCCGCGGTGAAGAGTGACGGAGAGCAGCCTCCATCCAGTAGTGCATTCCTGGCCGGGAGGTGGCTCAGTGGCAAATTTGCTTGGTGCACAAGCATGGAGTTTGGGTCCCAGCACCTATGTAAAAGTCCGGCATGTAGCATGCCTGTAACCCAAGCACTAAGGGGAAGAGACGGGAGCATCCTGGGGCTTGCTGGCCAGCCAATCTAGCCAAAACAACAGATTTTAGATTTAGTGAGACTGCCTTGAAAAAAAAAAAAAGAAGGAAGGAAAGAAGGAAGGAAGGAAGGAAGGAAGGAAGGAAGGGAGGGAGGGA